TGCTATCTCAATGTTTCCATTAGAGAATGGTTCTTTGTTCTCCATTGTCACTAAACAAAGAGATCAAAGACGGATGAGTACTTGATGAGCAGAGAGGCGTTCATTGTGTTGGGTTACTTGTAGGGAAAGCAAAAGTGAAGGGTGAAAACATTTAATGCAAAGTGCTAAGACGGTGGTAACTGTAACCTAACCATCGTTCAAACTGTTTTTGACAAGTCGTAGTTAAAGCCAGACCCGTTGCTTAAGACACATGATGCACATGCTTCACTTTTCAAAGGCCAAATTAACTTTCTATTTTAGTTTTAGGGACCACATTATTAAACTACTTATAGTGTCTGCAAATCCACTTGTACCATCAGTTTCTTTCATTCATTTCTTAGTCAGTCATTATATCTAGTTTTTCATAAATATATACACCAAGATTTAATGCTTTATTCAGACGGTTCTGACTCAGACCTATCAAAGAGTCCACTTGAGCAGCAAAGAGAGTTCAACACAGACAATCTGTGAAGTGATGATGGTACCTAGATGCACGGCTGCAACAAATACAATAAACAATGAACCAATCAAATTAAAGAAGGAGAGGAGACTATAACATGTCTCATTTAATGGTAACAAGATGAGATTCAAAAGTTCACCAAGGAAAACAAAATAAGCATGTGCTGGTTAATTTTTCAAGCTCTAGTACCAAAAAAAAAAAACCAGTTAAGAAAAGGCAATAATTCCCTAATTATACACCTAATTTGAGTTAAATTGTACCCTTTCAAGAAGCCATGACTTCCTTGAAGCCGATGCTTAACTGGGTTCGAAGTATTTGTCTGAACCATGCACAAGAGGTAAGAGTATATTGACATCGGTAATGTGCGGACCAGAACATAATTGAGACGAAGTTTCTCGAATCGAAAGCAGAGACAGAACCAGAACGAAAAAGCAGGACGAGAATTGAACCATTTCTCTTATGTAACATCAACTCAAAGAGAAGAAGGAGCTTTAATATGAATTGGTAGAATAAGAAGCTTGAACAGTGACTGTGAAATCGAAGCTTGAAGATGAAACCCTAAAAAGATGGGTTTATGGAAACGGGGAAGAAAAGTGAAGGAGACGATGGTGAAATTATGATTTGCAAACAGCGTGCCATTGTGTGTTTTTTGGATAAAACTGCTTGCCGTTTTTGGCGATTTTATATTAAGCTCCTTCTCTAGATTAACCTCTGCATTAGGTTTTGTTAATCACCTATGTTTTAGTTCTGATTCTCATTAAACAACTTCACATGTTTAAAAGCAAACTCACCTTGTACCTTTAAGCTCGTCTTCTCAAAAAGGTGTTCCTTTTTTCTAAGTCTTTCTCCAACCTATAAATAGTAAAAACCCATGTGGAATCGATCAAAACAACAAATATAAATGTCTAGGCTCTACATCATCTTTACTTAATCTCTCTCACCTAATTTGGTAAGCACTAAAGAAATATATTATTTATTTTAGGGAAATTTTATTTTTGCCACAAGTAAAAAAGTGGGTTCATTTCAGTTTTGATAAAGGCGATAGATTCTCCACCTTTTTGTAATTATAACATTTAGCTTTCAGGGAACATATAGTATTCGATTCTTTATAATGTCAACAGAAAATTAATGAAGAGTTGCTTTGCTAATAATTTGATTTAATTATTAAAGTAAACCAAAGTGTGAATAGATTTTATTAATTCTGTTTTCAAATGACATTCTCAAATACATAACTAATCTAATCCTAGTTAGCTGCGTATATATTCACGTAATGTAAAATTTTGGTTATAATAGAAAACTTATCTAAGATTGTTTTTTTGATAAAGATAGTTAATTATGCTTGTCCCGTAATTTAGAAGGTCGGCTTATCTTTTCTTTATGACATGTTAATTTTAATCTTTAGTAAGATAATCACCTACTCCTCAACCTTTCTCACCTAATTTTGTATGAAAAAGAAAAATTAACATTGGTGTTATAAACCTTTAGAAGATTTGTAGTACCACCTTGCAATTCAAGGAAAAGTGAACGGTATTTATATACC